TCATATCACTTTTTGTTTGTAATTTTAATCCTTATAGTTTTTAGTGTTCTAAGAGTATAGTCATCTCAAGGAGACTAAAGTTTTACGATTCAAGATTACAGCTGCCGCTTAGGTTATTACAAATTATTAATATTTATCTTTGCTCGTAACGAGTGCTCTAAAACTTTAAAAACGCTGGAAAAATTGAATACTCGCCGTGTTATAAAACAACGCTTAGAAAATTTGAATTTGTATCGTTAGCTGAGTCAAGCAGAGTCAAGCAGTTATTGAAAGTTTCTTCCACAAAATCTACACTATGGTACTCCTTATTCACCACTAATTGATTCTAAGTTACATAAATTTTATGCTGTTCTTTTTTTTATAGCAGCTGTTGACAGTGAAGTGAAGGTTATTCGATTATAGATTGATCCATTGTTTTGCTAATATTAGTATCCAGAAAACGCTGTCTCAAATGTTACTGTTTCTTTTATTAATTATTTACTTATTGTCAATAATGATGCAAGTGTCCCTAAGTGATGAATAAAAAATATTCGTGGTCTTAAATAAAAATAGCAAACAAAGCCTCTGACAGAAACAAATGAATCCATTAGGCACCAGTTGCTTCTAAATTGGTATTTAGAAGGAATATTTTCCGTTGCCAAATTACTCGTCGCCGCATTTATATTTTATTATCTTCATTTGTTAAATGTTTTATTTAGTAATATTACTCAGGAAGTATTGTACGACACCTCTAACAAAGACGGACTAACTTTTTACATGTTAGTTACTAATTTAGACATATACCTCCACAGTCATAACTAACGTTCTCCTTGTTCCACGATTCTTTTATAGTCACATTTTTTTTGTTTATCAATGTTTGTATTTGAATGATTCATTAATTTTGTAATTTATGTTTTTGTTTTAAATACGTTTAGTAACACGCGACGACTTAAATAATGGATGAAACCTAAAGAGTTATAATTGAATCTTTACAATGGTTCAGCAGCTTTAATTGTTCCTAAGTTATAATAACGCATTGTAAAGAGATAATGGGATACTAATGGATTCCAATTTGATTAATATGCTTTGCTATTGAAGATTTTAGACCTAGATAATTTCACCACAATCTACCTGGATTAGGCCATCTAGAATTAAATACTGATTTATCTAGCACCAACCATAATTAATTTAATTAAATACTATTTATTGCACACGACTTCGTCCGCGTGGAATTTAAAAATATGTTACTCAGTTATAACGTAGCTTTTTTGAGATCTTCCCAGTATTTTTTGATTAGTAGTAATACATGAAATACAACTTTTTTCCTAAGCATTTAAAATCATTAGCTACAGAGAGCAAAAAACATTTGAAACGTAGAAATATAATTAACCTAAGCTAACACATTTCCAAGCGAAGCGAGGTTTCCATTTTGAAAAATCAATAGTCATACGAGTTTTAATTACACGTGCAATATTAAGGTCATTGTTCTTTGCATACTGTTTTACAGAACGACAATTAAATAAAAATTAAATTAGTCGTATTTAACTTATCTTAATTGTTAGTGTAAGTTGTTAACTTTTTGTAGGTTTTACGTTTATGTATTTTGTCTCCATATATAAAATTAGCAGAAGAAACGATTAACGTAGACTTGGCTTGAAGCCATTTTATCTTAGGATGTTAATGTACATTTTGTTTAACTATAAACTGTTTGACTTCTCTGTGTGCAGAAGAAAGTATAAGTAAAAGTTTTTTAATTACGCCATCTAAGTCATCACTCCCTTCAAGATCATCCCAGTAAATTCAACTGTATAGTTGTACAACTAAAAATCGAATAGTGTGCTCACCTCTATATACGCGGGACTAAACAGTTGTGCGATAGTTTAGTTTCAGATGTGCGCTCTTAGTATTGGTTTCATAATTACGCATATCGATTGTGATACTTATATAAAATTACGCACAATATACTTCAGGGTTTTACTAAAATATCTATTAAGAAGCTTTGTAGTTTCCTTGTGATTTACTTTACCATGAAATTGAGCAAGCTTCTACTTACGCCATGCGACTAATGAAATAGTTTACTCGTATACAGACGCAAAAGGAATTATTGCTTGCGTAAAAGGACTAGATTTAGACAAGTCTATTATAAATTATATTAATATCTTTACGTAACTCTCGAAGGAAACCTTAACTATCTAGTGCTAAAAAGCTTTTTTGTGACTTTTAGTTTTAATGTTGTTGTCAAACTTCTAATTGGATTTTATCCTTGAGGCATTTGAATTTTGGACAATTAACAATAGGAGCGGGGCAACTTTGACGAATTTATCGAAACTGTTGTGCGATTGTCGATTGTTTTGCAGCCAATTGTGTAGTTGCACAACTAAAAATCGAGCAGTGTGCGCACCTCCATATAAGCTTATAAGAATCATAGCGCGACTAAACAGTTGTGCGATATATTAGTTTCAGGCATGCGCATGCTCTTAGTATTGGCTTCATAATTGTACCCACATCGATTGTGTTACATGTCATTACAATGAGGTTATGAAAAAAACAAAAATAAGAAGGACATTAAAATCTCATTTGAAAACATGTTGCATGAAGAGGTTTGGTTAATAATTGGAATAATGGAAGTGATTGATTGAAATCGATCACGGAGCCCTGCTTTGTACATTACGTATACGACAAGAACGGATTACGAATTGTTCAAGTGAATTTTAGATCGCTGCTGTATACAATAGAAATAACTAATTACATATGTAATAAACTATTTATTTTAGAGTGGATTCACCTATTCCTTTCATTAACATAGCCAACATAATACCGAATTCTTAAGATGTAGAAAACAAAACGATACAACATCGCAAAAATTTCAGTGTAACATGTTCTTTCTTACGAAGATGTAATGTTAATCAAATTTCGCTAGATGTCGCTAATAATACAAAGCTCGAAATAAGGTAACAAATGTACAAGTAACATCTATATTTTGCGTCTATTCGATGTGTTATCTGTCGAAGTATTAACATGGTCACCGTCAACATGATAATAAAGTATTCATTTAATATGATGATAAAAGTTAGAAATAGGATTTCCGGATATTTCCGGAGGTAAGCTGCTACTTTATTGTCTTATTTTGAGAACCAACTTCTTTGAGTCTATTTGAAGCCTAAGGCGTAATATTTACACAACCATAATTCACCAATAATCCTCATATTTTGTCTATACTAATATTATAAAGAAGAAAACTTTGTTTATTTGATTGTAATCAAAAACTACTGGGTCCATTTTAAAATGTCTTTTACCGTTAGAAAGGGTTAAATTTATCTGTGAGTAACGAAATATTATTTTTTAATTTTTTTTATTATCATTTTTAAATTTCACGCAGACGGAGTCGCGGGCAAAAGCTAGTTATAATGACTAAAATCGCAGAATACTAATGAATGATGTTTTTATTAACATTACTGTTATGTTATACTTTTCGTCCCGACGTTAAAAATAAAGTTTTAAAACTGAATAAAGTTTTAGTAACTGTATTTTACTTGCTTAGTTGATATCTCGGGGCACCAGGCGGGTATATAACGCGTTTAATTGTTACATTACAAAAACTTTAGCTAAAACCGTTCCCAAGAGCCAGAGGTGTTGCCAGACTACTGATTTTTAACCAAGAAAGGTTAAAATGAGAGCTTATAAAATATAATATTATAGTGTAATTAAAACCTTTACCTTCGCATAGTTTACAAGGAGTTACGTTTTTTGCCTAGGACGTTAGCATCCCTAGCTCATAATGTTCATTTTTTTGTATAAAACTAGCTGTTCCTCGCGACTTTGTCTCCGTGGAATTGAAAAAAAAACAGTAAAAAAACCTTTATCATTTGGTGATAACATAGCTTTTGAATGGTGCAGAAGTTATAAAAATCGGCCAGTCATTTTTGATTTTCTCAATACATACAAAATACAATTCTTTTCCCTTTTTAATATTAGTATAGATATACTATGGAAAACAAACATAAAATTAAATCATGATAAAAAAAGTTCAATACTATTTGGCAATTGGAGACAATTTTTGCAATTTTAGTTATATCAGGATACTAATAAGACAAATATATTCCATTTTCAAACTACCTTCATTTAGTTAGTAAGGATAGAAGACATCTCACAATTGCTACCATTCTTTATTCCAGCTCAAAGACGCTATTTAAATGTAAATGTTGTAATGAAATGCGGTTGCTATTTCAACGTGAACGCTTCTCTAACTTCGCGTAACAAAGTGGAAATATTCAGCAAAGATTGTAGGTAGATTTGAAAAAATCCAATTTTATAGTAGAGCCCTTTTGCATATAAAATAGGAAGTGTTGAGGTATCCGTATATGTAGAGAATATTTATTTGTTTCGGTGGGTTCCTTGTGAGAGTGTAAGATAATGTTTTCACACGTGTCTTTTGGCACTAAAAACCCACAGTTAAATTAATTTTTGTTGCTTTAGATTTTTAATATAGTGAAACTTGAAAGGAATTATTTCTCTAGTAGATTTTTGTTTTACTTAAAATTTACATTAATTATTACAAAAGCTAACATAATTGGTTTTTAGTAGGTTAAATAGCTACATAAAAATGTAAAAATATTTTCTAGTTCTTTCCTTTAAAAATTTTAAAGTAAATTTCTATTAAAACGTTGCATATTTAACAAAGTTTCTATATAAAGTGCTGGTTAAAACACTTAAGTCTAATTGAATTACATTAGCTGATGAAAATGAACAGAGGGCAACTTGAGAGGGTAGCTTAGCTAAACTTAGATAAACACTGCACATAAGACAAACTAAAGTGGCGCGCCCTTCCGTCATCCCCGGCAAACATTGAACTAAACGAATAAAATCTCCTTACTGGTAATGTTGACAAAATATTTTCGAAAAATTATTAAAAAGACTAAAGAATAATGAAAGAAATTTATTTATTTAACATATGTACATAGTAACGGTTTTCAGTGAACTCCAACAAGATTCAATTTTATGATATATTCCTCATCTATTGGTTTAACTTCACTGGTTAGTCTGTTAATGTAAGATTTGTGACGTCATAAGTTCACATCTCTGAATCCTGATTGGTCAACAAACTGTGGCCATAGATATTGCTTGAGACAGTATTAAATTAAAATTATGTAAAGTTTTATGTGAACCTATCAGAATAAAGGTATTGCATAAGATGCTCTTTTCTCATTTTGATTCTTTCCAAAGGCTCAAATCCACTGATGGTAAGGTTTGACATGAAACTATTTTATTGCTGAAAAGTTAAAATTAATAATTAAAATTTTAATACTCTATAATGGCGAAACGTGCATCATTGTTATCATTAAAAAACAGTTATAAATGAGATAAAACAGTAATTTCGATAAACTTACTCAGAAGAAACAAGTTCGAATGCTCTGGGCTGCATTCTTTTTATATTTATTCCATTATCGCAGATTAAACGAGCCATAGATCCTTTGCGAATTGTAGCTAGTTGAGCTGTAAAGATTCAATTTGTTATTATAAAAATAATAACTAATAATTACTTAGATGTTAATATTAATAACGGTAAGCCATTTTTTTGGTCTGTTCTAATACTTACCCGGTGTAAAAGCTATATTCTTATTTTCTCCATTTTCATAAAAGAATCTATCTCCAACACGGATGTTGTAGAATTGTATCAATGAAATACAAAGGTAAGTGGGCCCCAGCAGTGCACCAGGCGCATGTTCCTCCAGCACACCTCCCACGGTAAGGTCTATGTCGTAAACTGATTTGTACAATGACTTCAAGGCTTTTATATTCTACAAAGAACAAAAAGCGATTATCTAGTTAACCAACAACATTCATAAATATTAACTCAAGTTAAATATCCTTCATAAAAATGTATACTTACAGATTCTGAAATATCACCGCTCAAGTCATCGAAGTTCTTAGGCTCGGACAGTCCGCAGTAGCGTCTAAGCGCGACGTAGCCCGCTAGGCGGTGGTCTCTACCGCGTTGAATGTCAGTGGCGCGAAGATCATCACCTTTGGTCCTATTGTCTCTGCAAAATAATCGATGAAAACTCACGATCAAAATAAGCCCTCGTAAATTGAACGATGATACAGAGAAGCAATTGCCATTGTTAGTTGGATTTGCCATTTTAGTTCAAATTAAAAATCCTTTAAACTGGTTCGTTCGATCCGAAAGTTCTTCGAAGACCTTTATCTTATAAACTCGTAAGAAGTAATTAAAGTTTGATACTTTACCTAAAAAGATACTGAGTAATTTCCTTATCAAAGTATTGGTCAGCTTTATCTTCAGGTTGATAGGTTAAGCCTCTCGCTAGGCCATCAAAGGTACCGCGTTCTTCGATTACAGAAGGTCGATTAAACCAGTCGCTTAATCTCAGGACACGTTCTAAATTGCGGTTTTCTTTTAATACACTGAAAGAGAAAAAAACATTAGAAGTTATTTAATGATCATTACTAGGAATCTAAATCTAATATTGGTACATTGTATGCGCTAGGTAATTTACATTTCTCATCCTATTTATAGTAAATACAAAGTAGGACGTAATCAAGATGTGCTTACTCAAGTCTTCCTCGTATTAGTGTATGGAAGTATCTGTAAGCTGCAGTAGCGAATTCATTTATTATGGATGCACTAATTTTTGGATTGTAGTCATTTATGTAACCTGTAGGATTTTTGTAAATTATTTTTTTCTCGAGCATATTATCCCGGCCTGTTAAAACATACAAAATTATTACAATTGTTTAGATTTAAGTATCCCAGAAGCATTTCTTGCAGCTTTAATAAAGAGTATAAACCTAGTAATATCGGAAGTAATTCGTAATAGTTGATGTGTTGACATATGGCTATTAGAATGCGTCGTGTTTCTTGATAAATCCTCTCGTCGTCCCAAAGTCTATTCAACTTTGATAGTATACCAGCTATGCGATTATGTTCCTTTAGCAAAACGATTTGGAGCACCGTTAGTTCTGTATTTTGGTTAACTCTAGAATCCCCTACGAAAACAAAAAAAAAAGATAAAATGTATATTAAAATAAAATTGCATCTAAGAATACAGTACCTATGCAATATAGTGTAACACAAAATACTTGTTATTTTGCGACATAATAAGCCATATATTAAATAAGTGATTTCGATGTATCCGTCCTGGGGAAATCCTCACACCCACCATGTCCCTTCCACTACCCCATATTTACCTGAAAGAGCGCTCTTGTTATAGCCGTATTCTTCTGACATTATTTACAGTACTTCGATAGTCAGTTCTTAACTTACATCGGGTCGTGTTATTGATCTGATAGTTGGTGATTAGATTTATTCTTACCTGCGACATAGCAAGTATCATTGGCAGGAATTGCCCGTGTGCATGATTCTTGTGCGTTGGCAGCCTGTGGCGGCCAAACACCACCGTTTCGTCTTTCAGTTACCAAACGACCTCCTTCCCCTTCACGCAATAATTTCGCTTGAGTGTCGTTAACTGCGTAAACCAATGAAAGATCCATGTAACCAGTATTTTCATTAATCTACAACAAATAATTATTTTTTTAGAACTATATAGAGCTCGACTTACACAGTAACCTGACTAATGATAACCAGAAATACTTCTGGTAATAATAGTATACACTAATGAGTTTATCAATTTCTGCCTGCGTGAAATTTAAAAATGAATTTAAAAATTTACTCACCGATTAATTACATTTCTAATGGTGAAAGCATTTTTAAAATCTAAACAGTAGTATTTGAGCCTTTTCAGTACAATCAATCAAACCTTTCCTCTTTATAATATTAGTATAGAAAAGCAATCATTTACCGGGTAAGAAGGAGCATCCGGGGCTGTGCAACCTGTATCATTTGAAGTTACAGTTCTGACAAAATCAAAACATTCTCTCTTATCCTTACAGTAACCATTTTCTTTGTTAGGTATGGGTATTGCAGCGCAGAACTTATTACTATTAGCCTCTGATGTATATTGTCCTTCGAAGTTACAGCATGTTGGAGATGGAACGTCTAAAATGAATGTAATAATTGTAAAATATTACATTGAATATTATTACAAGATCACTTTAAATTGCATAATAAAAATAAGGAAGACAAGTAAATAGTAAGTAAATACACGGGACATTTAAAACCAAACCGTACGCCAACGAAACTAATACTCAGTGGAGTTTGTAGTTATGTTTTAAATGTTTGATAGAAATTACTCTTATTCTATTAATATTTCTTGTTTATGGCTCTCCCTCAGCGGATTGGGCCAGAATTGTTTCTAATACCCGCTCTACAACTAGTATTACATTAGAAACTTTAGGATTATCTTACTAATAATAGAAGTACTGGCTGTCAAAGAAATATCATGAGCTATGATTTGTCCCCACTGCATTGCGTTGAGTGTCCACTTTTGGTCAGTAAAATTTCTTGGTGGAAAAATTTTAAGTGATACTTCTCTTGGATTAGGTAACATATTTCCCTGTGCGGAAATGTTTATACCTGAAATATACGAAAATTATCATGATATTGTACAGTCTAAAATTTAATTTCTTGTATAAATAAATTTGGACCCAAGTCCAAGAAAACATAATAACAGTATTCTTTGGTCAACCACATAATAATAGTATTCGTCTGAAACCTAGTGTGTTCCTTGAGTTAATTTACAAACATTAGATAACATTTCAATTATTTTTAACTTACTATCTGGACGAGCATCCTCTACTAGTACTGCGAAAGGTTCTTTAGCCGCACCCCAGTAGGGGTTCTCCAAATTGTTGCAAGTGCCATCTAGCGTACGGTATCGAGATTCTGTACAAGTCAGCTTTTGACCACACGTCTGTACTATTTCAGGGTTTTTTGTACTATTTGTTTCTTGTTGGTCTTCATTTGATTCGAATGAACTGTACGAATACAATTGTATAAAATGAGACAGTTGTTAAAAGTAAATGTTCGTAATATTAAACACTTACCTTATAAGGGTTAAGAAAGTTTGTAGACGACCAATTAAAATACGGTCTAACTTTTCAGTGTCGCTAGAAAATGCTAAATAATTAAAATACATCAACTTGTGTAAAATAGTAAATATCTTATGTCATTTAATGAATACATCGTTAACAGGATACTGATCTGTTATTTTTTTTTATTTCAGAGGGGGGGGGGGTATTAATCTGATTTCAGATAATGTTAAATAAAAAATTATAAATTGCTCTACACTCACATTGGTGGATTTATTTTTTGGTTTCTGGTAATCTTTGATATGTAGCCCAATAGAATATCCAATTTACAATACTTATTTTACAGTAATATTTAATTATAATACTAACCTGGACTTATCGCCAGTCTTCAGTGTAGCATTTACTGCATGTGCAGACAAACTAATCAATAAAACTAAATTTATTGTCGTCCTGCACATTGTCTCTGGAAAAAATTTAACTATTTTGGCACATTAATAAACGTAAAAAAGACTTACAGATTCTTTAAGAAAGTTAATTAACCGTATATTATATATATTAGTATATTAAAAAATATAATCTATTCAATTCTTGTTTATGGCTCTCCCTCAGCGGATTGGGCCAGTGTCAAGTGTATATAATCTACGGTATTTAGACAATTTTTTTAAATTTTTTGTTAATAACTTATTTTTTTCCACAAATTATCTAAACGTACATTCTACCGGTTTGCTTTACAAAGTTACTATGTCAAAGAAAAGGAAAATTTGTTTTTATAATTTCTTAATGAGTAACATTTGAGCAGATAAACGTAACGAAAAACTGGTTTTTGGTACTCTACAATTCTTTATAAATTTCTTTCTGTATAAATTGACATCACAATATTTGTATCAATTAATTTATTATGTAGGTACCCTCGTTTCTGTAAAGATAATAGTGGTAGAATACTTAATTTAAGAAAAACAAACGCATTGAATTTAATTGGCAATATAAAACACGAAGCAATTATAGATATGTTCTCCGTTAAACAGTAGGTGTTATAAGTATATTAAAAAACTTTACAATTACTTTAAACAGTTTATTTTTAAGTTTTTAGTTCATGTTTGCAATTGGATTTTACCACGTTGTACTATTACTGAATTGGTTTTTGAGTACCAATTTGGGCATGGGGGATGTATATGTCAATATGCAATCCGCCATTTTATAACAGCGGCTATATGAATCTCTATAGTGTGTCTAAATAATTTAGATTAGTTTGAAAATTCATTTCAAATTTAATAGGGATGGGTTGTGTAAAATCAGTCATGAATCTTATAGATTTTCGATTTTTATTCTAATAGAAGTTGGAATCGATAGATTTTTAGTTATAATTTATGAATTAAAAAAAAAACACTGTTTTCTTAAATTAATTATGACCATAACAAATAATGAGAGTAAATAAATGTTTATTACTACTACAGCCGTACGTAATCGAATTGGATTTCGCTATTATTTCTGTCATCGCTAAATTCTCAACACCATAATTTTAGTTGAGTACGATAATTATTTAAACCGAATATCGATAGTTCATAATTGTTCGCTATGTGTTCCTCACTACGATACCTGTCTATTAAGTATGGCATTTGCCTTCATACAAATTGAATACGATATTTCATATGCGACATTTATCAAACTAATCTATCTTATTTAGACAAACTATAGTTGAACGTACTCTACTCGGCAAGCTCTATCGTTTTTTTTAAATTGTCATCCACCAGTCTTTAAACCAGAGTATGGTATATTAAAAAAAGTTCAAGGTGGCCGCTAATACAAAAAAGCAAATGTAATCGATAAGCAACTTAAAAGTAAAATTGGTAACTCTACTTATGTATGTATTAAAACTTAACTGCTATTGAGACATTTTAATTTGCTAATCCATACATTATTTATGTCGTAAAAACTAGAATGATACATATTTTTTAGGCTAATTCAATTCGTTATCAGTTAACATATATTTTAAAGAGTAAAAAGCGTTATTTTGACGTCAAACATATAGCTATAAAATGCTTATTTTTTTTTACAGGAAAAGCGGGCAAACGAGCAATGGATCACTTGATATTAGTTTGCGGAGAGAAAAATCTTTCCTTGGGGAATTATTTTAATTATCAACATTTAACGTTTTTCGATTCGATTTTCGAATTTCATATGTACTTAATCTACCCGACGTTCTTACGGTGCAGGAAAACATCGTGATGCAACCTGCACATATCGGCGAAGAAATTCAAAGATATGTGTAAAGTCAACCAACCCGCAGTGGGTCAGCGTAGTTGAGTATAGCCTAGTCCTTGTGAGATAATAGGATATTAAAAAAAATATTCAAACGTTACGCTAAAAATAAACTCTATTCCGGCACCTAGGAGCTGTAAGTAATAAAAAGACTTAACACCTGTGCGCCTTTAATTTCACAAGCAATAAATTGTGAAACTTGCCTGTTCTTATCTGAATCTTTATACAGCGCGGCCATATTTCGTTGAAGATTATTCGAATATTTACGTATTGCACGGTATGGGAAATAAAGATTAAAACAAGAAAATGTTGTGTTCACCAAAACTGATAGGTAAGGTTAATTTTTAGGCAATTATGGATTATTAAATATTTGTTAAGTTTAACTATGTATATAAGTTTGTTGTGAATTAAATTTCAATCAATTAAATTTAAATCTTAGACGTGTATTATGTGATCAAATTTTATGTTCTGTTTGGCATTAAAACAATATTTCCTAGTTTATAAATTTTGAACTGTTGGATAATCTTAATTGTAAAAATGTAATAGCAATTTTAAGTTAATGAAAAACTGCTATTTTTTTCTTTCAGCATTAACTCTGACTTTTTATAACGTCGCCGTAACGTCAATCAAGATAGAAATAGACTCAGAAGATGTGTACAAATTTGTTAATAATTTTATGAATTTCGACGTGTTTAGAAAATTTGCAATGGAAAATTACAGGAGTCTATTGAGAAGCGAATTCAACAATCCTTATCACCCGGAAGACAACGTGCCCAATTTTGAGAAAGTGGCAGTTTCTTATGAAAAGGAAAACGAACTTTTAGACATGAAATTGGAGAGTGAAAACAAAATATTTTTATCGCAAATTGATAAAAATGATACTGTTAACAACAATTTTTTTACAAATCCATTCAAACATCGTAAAATTATTAGCTCTATTGGGAGCACTGCTTTACAGTGGGCTAACAGTGCGACGTTGTTACCACTATTTAAAGGGACTTAATACTAT